GCCCGGGTTACTGCGGACTTCTCTCCCTGAAGACCCTACTTTGGGGACTGCTGAGGGCGGGGTTGGTCCCCATCCCTTCCTGGCCTGGCAGCTGCTCTGGCGCGACTCTGATTCGCGCTGCCCGCAGGTTCCTCAATGGCCGAGGCCGAAGGGCCTGAATGGAGGGCACGAACCCGCCCCTTCTTAAAGGCGCCGGACTCCGGGGCACCCTCGGCAATCCTTCCCACTAACAGGGGCTGTCCGGGAACTCTAGGGTGGGCGGGTCTGGAATGGTGGCCGTGGGAAAGAGGGCCTGGGCCGAATGGAGGGCGTGCCAGCCTGGAACTGTGGCCTAGATGGGATCTCTCCCCACTCCAGTTCGTGGCCCTCGTGCTCCTTCTAGGTTGACCCACCCCTTCCTCCCTCCCGGGAAAGAGACCTGAGCGTCCCCTCCCCACTTCCAAGGACCCCGCCTCCGGGGACCAGCTGCGCTCGCTCCACCGCCCAGCCCGGGTCAGAGGAGGGGGCGAGGGCGCAGCTGCTCCGGAGGCGCTTCGACCCCTCTCGCCACTCCCCGCCCGGCCCCGGATGGGGGTCCGGGAGCCGATCCCAGCGGGGGCGCATCCCTCGCTCGCCCGTCCTCCTCCCTCCCACCCGCGCACACAAAGACGACACGCTCGGACCAGGGCGCGTGCGGCCGCGCTTCCCGGGGCAGCGGTGCGCACACACACGCACGCCCTCAGGGACTGCCGAGAGCCCGGGTGAGGGACCAGGGGACCAGGAACTGAGGACCAGCAGGCCTTACCTACAGGCGTGCAGCTGGGGCCGCGCGGGCCGGGGCGCCGGCGGAGCGCTGCCCCGACTGCGGCCGGGCTCCCGGGGCCCGGCGGCTCATGGTCCGCGGCGGGTTTGGTTCCCTCCGGGAGGGAGCCAGCGGCGGCGGAGGCGGCGGCGGCTCCTCCTCCCTGGTTCACAGCCTCGAAGGCTCGTGCGCTCCTCGCGGTCCCGGCGCGGCCCCCGCGCAGCTCCCCGGGCTGCCGAGCCCAGCGCGCTCCGAGCTCAGCCCCGCGCGGCGCGCGCCCCGCCCGCTCCCCGTCGTGCCCCCCGCCCCCGCGGCGCGCGCCTCCGGGCCCCGCCCCCGCCTCGAGCCCCGCCCCCTCCCGCCTCTCGCCGCGCAGGCCCCGCCCCTGACGCGCCCCCAGCCCTCAGCCAGGCGGCGGCGGCGGCTTCAGCGACCCCGGCTAGGTTCCCCTTAGCTGTGGTGGAGCAGAGGTCGCGCGGCCAGCGGCCAGAGGGGTTGGGAACTGGCCAGGCTCCGTCCCATTTGGGGCCGGGGTCGCGGGTCGCGCAGCCGGCTTCAGACCGGGCGCCGGCATCCAGCCCGCCCCGAGGCGTCTCCCGGGGCCCGGGGTGCTGGCTCCCGGAACGCGGCTGTGCGTCCCGAAAGGTGCCCTGTGTGGTGGGGAGACCGGGCGTGGACACTTTCCGAACGCCCCTTGGTGACCGGAGCTAGGCAGGGATGGACGCTGTGTCTGGACCCTGACTGCGGGGACAATGGGGAGCCTCGAGGAGGCCCAGATGTCGCAACCGAGGAAGTCTGTGTCTGGTTCTCATAAATCCCGAGGGCGCGCACCACGCCCCCTCTCCAGCCCTCCCAGAGGGGCCACAGGCCGCGGCCCCGGGGCGGGGAGGACATCCCGAACACGGCCCCACCTCCCAATTTCAGACTGGGGGAGACTGGCGCCACTCCAGGAGACGTTGGTCGTCACATGGGCTCACGGGATGCCACAGCCCTGGCTTCCTCACTCCTACCGGGATTCAGAGCTCTGCCTGAGGTTAGCGCAGAGAAGAAGAGAGAGAACTCAAATTACTAACATACGGGATGATAGAGGCAATATCACAACAGACACTTCAGAAATACAGAAGATAATCAAAAATTATTTTGAATCCTTATACTCCAATAAATTAGAAGATAGTGAAGGCATAGATAAATTTCTTAAGTCATATGATCTGCCCAGATTGAGTCAGGAGGATATAGACAACCTAAACAGACCAATATCAATTGAGGAAATACAAGAAACCATCAAAAGACTACCAACTAAGAAAAGCCCAGGACCAGATGGGTATACAGCAGAGTTTTACAAAACCTTTAAAGAGGAACTAATACCAATACTTTTCAAGCTACTTCGGGAAATAGAAAAAGAGGGAGAACTTCCAAATTCATTCTACGAGGCCAACATCACCCTGATACCTAAACCAGACAAAGACACTTCAAAGAAAGAAAACTACAGACCAATATCTCTAATGAACCTAGATGCAAAAATCCTCAATAAAATTCTGGCCACTCGGATACAAAAACTTATCAAAAAAATTGTGCACCATGATCAAGTAGGATTCATCCCTGGGATGCAAGGCTGGTTCAATATACGGAAATCAATAAATGTTATTCATCACATCAATAGACTTAAAAATAAGAATCATATGATCATCTCGATAGATGCGGAAAAAGCATTTGACAAAGTACAGCATCCCTTTATGTTCAAAACTCTAGAAAAACTAGGGATAACAGGAACATACCTCAATATTGTAAAAGCAATCTATGCTAAGCCTCAGGCTAGCATCATTCTGAATGGAGAAAAATTGAAGGCATTCCCTCTAAAATCTGGAACAAGACAGGGATGCCCTCTCTCTCCACTTCTGTTCAACATAGTTCTCGAAACACTGGCCAGAGCAATTAGACAGACGAAAGAAATTAAAGGCATCAAAATAGGAAAAGAAGAACTTAAATTATCACTATTTGCAGATGACATGATTCTATACCTAGCAGACCCAAAAGGGTCTACAAAGAAACTATTAGAGCTAATAAATGAATTCAGCAAAGTGGCAGGATATAAAATCAACACGCATAAATCAAAGGCATTCCTGTATATCAGCGACAAATCCTCTGAAATGGAAATGAGGACAACCACTCCATTCACAATATCTTCAAAAAAAATAAAATACTTGGGAATCAACCTAACAAAAGAGGTGAAAGACTTATACAATGAAAACTACAGAACCCTAAAGAGAGAAATAGAAGAAGATCTTAGAAGATGGAAAAATATACCCTGTTCATGGATAGGCAGAACTAACATCATCAAAATGGCGATATTACCAAAAGTTCTCTACAGGTTTAATGCAATGCCAATCAAAATCCCAACGGCATTTCTTGTAGAAATAGAGAAAGCAATCATGAAATTCATATGGAAAAACAAAAGACCCAGAATAGCAAAAACAATGCTAAGCAGGAAGGGTGAATCAGGCGGTATAGCGATACCAGACTTCAAACTATACTACAGAGCAATAGTAACAAAAACAGCATGGTACTGGTACCAAAACAGGCGGGTGGACCAATGGTACAGAATAGAGGACACAGAAACCAATCCACAAAACTACAACTACCTTATATTTGATAAAGGGGCTAAAAGCATGCAATGGAGGAAGGATAGCATCTTCAACAAATGGTGCTGGGAAAACTGGAAATCCATATGCAACAAAATGAAACTGAATCCCTTTCTCTCGCCATGCACAAAAGTAAATTCAAAATGGATCAAGGAGCTTGATATCAAATCAGAGACACGCCGTCTGATAGAAGAAAAAGTTGGCTACGATCTACATACTGTGGGGTCGGGCTCCAAATTCCTCAATAGGACACCCATAGCACAAAAGTTAATAACTAGAATCAACAAATGGGACTTACTCAAACTAAAAAGTTTTTTCTCAGCAAAAGAAACAATAAGAGAGGTAAATAGAGAGCCTACATCCTGGGAACAAATCTTTACTCCTCACACTTCAGATAGAGCCCTAATATCCAGAGTATACAAAGAACTCAAAAAATTAGACAATAAGAGAACAAACAACCCAATCAACAAATGGGCCAAGGACCTGAACAGACACTTCTCAGAGGAGGACATACAATCAATCAACAAGTACATGAAAAAATGCTCACCATCTCTAGCTGTCAGAGAAATGCAAATCAAAACCACCCTAAGATACCATCTCACTCCAGTTAGATTGGCAGCCATTATGAAGTCAAACAACAACAAGTGCTGGCGAGGATGTGGGGAAAAGGGTACACTTGTACATTGCTGGTGGGACTGTAAATTGGTGCAGCCAATTTGGAAAGCAGTATGGAGATTTCTTGGAAAGCTGGGAATGGAGCCACCATTTGACCCAGCTATTCCCCTTCTCGGTCTATTCCCTAAAGACCTAAAAAGAGCATGCTACAGGGACACTGCTACATCTATGTTCATAGCAGCACAATTCACAATAGCAAGACTGTGGAACCAACCTAGATGCCCTTCAATGGATGAATGGATAAAAAAAATGTGGCATTTATACACAATGGAGTATTACTCTGCATTAAAAAATGACAAAATCATAGAATTTACAGGGAAATGGATGGCATTAGAGCAGATTATGCTAAGTGAAGCTAGCCAATCCCTAAAAAACAAATGCCAAATGTCTTCTTTGATATAAGGAGAGTAACTAAGAACAGAGTAGGGTCGAAGAGCAGGAGAAGAAGATTAACATTAAACAGGGATGAGAGGTGGGAGGGAAAGGGAGAGAGAAGGGAAAATGCATGGAAATGGAAGGAGACCCTCAGAGTTATACAAAAGTACATACAAGAGGAAGTGAGGGGAAGGGGAAAAATAATATAAGGGGGACAAACGAATGTCAGTAGAGGGAGCAGAGAGAGAAGAGGGGAGGGGAGGGGAGGGGAGGGGAGGGGAGGGGAGGGGAGGGGAGGGGGGATAGTAGAGGATAGGAAAGGCAGCAGAATACAACAGACACTAGTATGGCAATATGTAAATCAATGGATGTGTAACTGATGTGATTCTGCAATCTGTATATGGGGTAAAAATGGGAGCTCATAACCCACTTGAATCAAATTGTGAAATATGATATATCAAGAACTATGTAATGTTTTGAACAGCCAACAATAAAAAATTAAAAAAAAAAAAAAAAAAAAAAAAAAGAACACTGTCCTGCTGGTCTTGGCAGGCCCTGTGGTCTGATCCCGGAGCTCGACCTCCAGCAGTCTGCTCTGGAGGGGTGCAGGACTCCAGCGGACCCGGAAGAGGTCCGAAAGAAGGGGATATCATGTGAGCAGGGGTGTGGAAGAGGTGCTTCCACAGGAGACCTGGGTGCTCCTGGGGTGGGGCAGTGGTTTCTGGGCACCTCCCCTCCTCACCGTCTTAGCTCCCTGCTCCAGCCCCCAGAGGTGTTGAGTCAGCTGCCCGCCCCATCCTCTAGCAGCTCTGTGGCCTGCCATGTTGACTTTGCTGACTGGGAATGCCTCCATCTGTTGGCCTCCCCCACCCACAGTGGCCTCTGACCTTTGTAGAGAGCCCTTCCACCCCTCCAGGGTTTTAATGTGCATCTTGTGGATGGAAAGGGTGGGTCCAGGAGGAGCAGTGCCTGGTGAAGGTGGAGGCTGGCTTGGACCTCCCACCTGCTGCCCTCCACAGGGCCACTAAAGCTAGCCAGGTCTCGGTGGAGGCCTGCTACCTGCCCCCTTCCCTGCCACACTGTACCAGCTGCCCTCACAGCAGGACCTGGCTAGCAAACACTTAATGAAGTAGGCAGTAGTCCAGCCATCGATGGAGGTGCCCACAGGCTGGACGCTGGCTGGGAACCAGGACACCTATGCATGAGGCCAGGAATTGGGGGGTAGGGTGGTTGCCAGCAGAACAGATTGATGGAGGCTCTGCCCCTGGGCAGCCTGGCCCATTGTGGACTGACCCGGGTACAAGTTGTGCCCTGAGCTTGCTGCTGGTGGATTGTCAGTGGCCAGAGAGGATCAGGGTGGAACAATAGCTCTGACCCCTTGGGAGGAGGAAGTGAGGAGGAGCCAGAGGCCTAGTAACTCTGAGTAACCTACCTACCAGGAGGAACTGGTGGGAGAAACGAAAGTGGCTGGGAGGGGGAGAAGGGGTGATGAGCCAAGGGACAGGAATGAGGGTCAGAGAGGACAGTCCATCTTGTGTCTTGGAGTACAGGAAGCTCTGGGGCCTTGGAGGAAGTTCTGAGGGAAGAGATGGTGAGGGGTCCTGGTAGTAAGAACTCAAAGGTAAGACCCCTGCATGCATAAGCTCTAGCATTCAGGAAGAAGCTCGAGGCAGATGTGGCACAGGGGACTCTGGTCTGGTGGACTGCAGGGCAGGAGCCAGGTTTGGAGCCAGCCTAGTGGGTAAGGCCAGCCACCACAGACCAAAATGAGATGTATGTATGTGAGTGGGGCTGGCATGGGGATGAGGTGGCACAGTCCAGTGGTTCCAGGGAATCTCCATGCAAGACTGGTGTTCAAAGCCCTGATGGGTGTGAGTTCTGGCACCTGGGGGACCCAAGGGAAAGGAGCCCTGCTCTAGATCCAGCTCTGGTGCGTACAGAAAGGGAAGCAGGGATTCCCCAGGAAGGGATGTGGACCACCAAAAACATCAGGCCCCAACCACAGCCTGACAGCTGGCTGTGAAGAAAGGAACTGGTTTCCCTTGTTGATGGGGTTGCAAGCCTGCCCAAGAGAGCCCAGATGCTGTGGGTTTGGGTTTCAGCAAAACTCTGAATGCACTCGGAATTCTTGGGGACAGGAAGAGCGGGAGAGACTTCCTGTATGCCAGGGCCCTGCCCCATACAGACAGACAGCCCTGATCCTGGGGTGGTACTGCAGGCATCTACTGGCCTTCAGAACCCCAGTGTCCCAGAGCTCAGGAGTCACAGAGCATCGGCAGCAGTGTGGCTGCAACTATGGTTTATTCAAACATGCAAAGCTGAACGTGAAACACAAACCTAACTAAGGAGATCTGCCAGTGGCCCCCAGAGGTGGCCATGCTACGGTGGCCCACAGTCAGTTCTGCGTGGCTGAGAGGCACTGGGACTCCTCTAGCTAGTTCTTGGGTCTGAGGAGCCTGGGGGCCCTGGGATCTTGTTGGAGGCACTTCCTCATCTATAAACCAGAATATCTTGCTAAAGAAAAAAGCAGAAATCACTTGTGTCTGGGGGCAGGGAGGGGGTAGCAGAAACTGTCCCATACTCTGGGGATGGGGTGGGGCATGAGTAAACTAGTTCTTGTCTAACCTTATCTATGTTCTATGGTGGGGGGGAAATCAGTGACAGAGGCAGACCAGGGAGGTCTGACTCAAAGCCCAGTAGCCTACAGGAAGGACCTGACATCTCGTTCAGGGTGTGAGGGAGATCCTAGGGGAGCAAAGGGGATGTCAGAGCCCAGGCCTAAGGAGTCCAAACTGGTTTAACTAATGCCAAAATCAGATGAGTGTTACAGCCGGGGTCTCTGCCACCAGTGCTAGAGGCCAGGCTGTGTGCGGAGCCCAGGCCAGGCAGGTGGAGCATTTGGTCAGCCTGGTCAGGCATTAGGGGGGGCTGTCTGGACCTAGGAAGCCCTGATGTGGCTCTGACATTCTTTTAAGGGGCCCAAGGGGACCTGGGACCTCTGGAAGCTATTGGGCCAAGGACAAGGACAGTATCCATGTTGGTGGGGGGTGTCAGGGGAAGCCTAACTCATTAGAAGCAACTGATCAAGCAGGAGTGGGGACGCAGCCACACTGTTGCAGGGGTGACCCTGATATCACTGCCACAAATCACCAGCTGCCGCCCCGCTGTCCTTCTCGTGGAACTTGTGCAGGTGATCGGCGAACCTGGGAACAGAAACCACTTCTGAGGCTAAACGTGCAAAGGAGAGAAGTGTGTGTGTGTGTGTGGGGGGGGGGCACGTCCCATGTGACAGATGGCCCTGGGGAAGTGGGCGTGGTGGAGGGCTGGGAGAGGACAGGATGGAGCTGTGGTGGACAGCCTGAGGAGCAGGCATCATGAAGGAGGGGCTTGGTGTGGTGTTGAGGAGGGAGGTGGGAGTTCGGGGACTAGATTTTGGGTTTTGGGAACAGGGGACATTCTCACTTCTTGGCGCAGGTGGCGGCACAGTCCCTCTCCAGACTCTCGCTCCAGGCCAGCTTGTAGAGCACCTGACCAGATGGAGACAGTGTGAGCTGCCCACCCACCTCATGGCCACTCCCACAGCCCACCCACGGCCCCTGTGTCTGCACTCTGGGGACAGAAATGTCCTGTGGCCTCGGCCCCAGGGAATTGGGCGGCAGAGACACTCCTGAGCTTGCTTGTCTCACAGGAGGTCCGATGGGTCCAGACACAATGGCCCTGACATGGGGCGTACTTCTGACAGGTCCAGGAGGTGCTGGGCCCTGCAGTCAGAGTGGTAGCCCAGGCTAGTTATGTAGGGGCCACGGGACAGGCTGGCTGGAGGTGAGTCCCTGAGGCTGGAGTCTCCATACAACAGGCTGGCCCTCTCCTCCCCACTGTGGCAGACACAGAGGCATCCCCAGGCCACTGACTCCAGTGCCCCTCTGACTTGGGGAGATGTGGTTCTGGATGTCCCTTCTCTGGACAGCCCACCCGGCAGTCACTGGGGGGATTTGTTAGACCTGGTCCCTCTTGCCTCAGGCTCCCACCAAGGCCTTTCTTTCCACCAAGCCTCTCAGGTCTGGGTCAGTGGCTGTGGTCAACCAGGCCTCCTCCCCTGAGTGGCCAGGCTGTGCCCTAGTCAGAGAATCCAATCCAAGTCTGGAGTGCTTTTTGTCCCCAGGATGGGGACCAAAGGGAGAGGAGTGGCTCAGAACTGAGGGTGTGGCTTTGAGGAGGCCACAGTAACAGGGTCCTGCTGCCCTGAAGGTCAGCAGAGCATGGTGACATCACTGGCCCATTGTCTGGACACTCACCAAGAAGACCAGGCAATGCAGGAAGAGGGTGTAGAAGAAGCCGATGGTGCGGGCCATCTTGTTGGAGAGGACCAGACGACCCTGGGGGGCAAACAGGGAATGGGAAGATGGGAAAGGGCTGCCCCTGGCTCTTGCAAAGGGGCGCTGGGGCTGCAAGGGGAGGGAAGGGCTGGGAGCTGGGGACCCTTCTACAATGTATGGAAGGGGGCGGATGGAGGGGGAAGTCCAGCTACAGGATTTCAGGGAATGGCGCCCCCTGCAGCCCGGTTCCAGAGCCCACAGTGAATGGTGTTATCAGAGGAGCTGCTGGGGAGAGGGAAGGACCCTGTCCCATTTTCCCAGTCACATGGCCCCCCTTGTTAGGGCATGGTAGGGGTCTGTTGGCCCCTGGGGTTTCTCCCAATGGGGCTGGAGGGCAGGTGCCATGGTGCTTAGAGATAGATGTTCCTGTCTGTCCCAGGTAGGCACAGGCGTGAGGACTCACCATGCTCAGTGTGGCCTTGTCCCAGGGGCTCAGGCTCAGGTACTTCCTCTGCCGCTCCTGAAGGAGGAGAGACGATGAAGAAAGGACCCAGAGAGGGCTGCAGAGCCCTAGGTGGCTGCTACGGGCCCCCTGGTGACAGTCCCACTCAGTGTGACAATCTGGGCTCCCCCAGCATCTGTGTGACTCCCCCACTCCCAGGGCCCCTAATGCCTGTGTAAAAAGCTCTTCCTGGATAGGAAGGCTTAGGCAGGTAGGCAGGGGAGGCCACCACCATCGTGGGGAGTGGAACCCCCTTGCCTGTCTGCCTGCCCCACAGGGGTACTTGGTGAACCTGCTCACTGCCACACGCCCACAGAGAGCCACTGAGGCCTTCCTGGGGGTGACCTGGGCCTCTATGGCACTGAAGCAGTGTGGAGCTGCTGGTCAGGGAGGGCCTGGGCATGCAGAGCCGGGTGTGCCAGGCCAGGGGAGAACAGATGGGCATAGGGAAGGGAGTGGCCGGGCCAGGTGGGCGGGAACTGCTTAGGCCCCCTGCACTGACCCGCTTGCTGAAGGAGGAGAAGGGGTCCAGACGCTCCTCATACTGGGTCGAGTATCGCAGCTCCGTGTCGTCACTGCTGCCACCCTGCACATGGGGAGGAGGAGAAGCCCGTCACGGGCATGGCCCAGCAGGCAGGCAGTGCTCAGGGAAGGCAGGCCAACAGCCACGGCTTCCGCAAGGCTGGGAGAGGGTGCTGGGTGACAGTGAATGTGACCACTGGCTCTGGCCTGGGGTCAGAGTTCTGTCTCCTCCCCAGGCGTCAGGCCCACCTCTCCCAGGTGGGACAGGACAGGGCTGGGCCTGGGTACGAGTTGCTGAGGCTGGCCTCTAATTTGTGGGCTCAAGCCATTTTCCTGCCTCCGTCTCCCTAGTAGCTGGGACCACAGGTGTGGGCCAGGATGTCGGCTTGGTGGGTTTGAAGGGGGTTGCTGGGGGTTGGGGGAAGGCAGCCACTTGGAGCAGCACTGGTTCGCGGAGTCTGGGCGCCCTCTTGTGGCAGGAGAGCAGCATATCAGCACAGCTCCAGCGGGTGGGGGTGGGGCCCGCGGTGTCTGTCTGAGCTCCCTCCCCCTTTACTTCCCGGCTCTGTCTTCCCTTGGTCACAGAAAGGGTTTCCTTGCAGGCGGGGACCCCTGAGAGGCCTGGGGGCCGAAGGACACCAGGGACAGCATTCTCAACTGGAATGGAAATTCTGAATTTTTTTTTAAAAAAATATGTGTAAAACATACCAGTTCCCAGCCTGTCCTGAATGCTCAGTACCCCTAGGGTTAAGTGCCCAGATCCTGGGGGGCACTAGTGGGTCACCACCATTTCACAGAAGGGTTGCCCGGGCTGGTGGGCCCCTGGTCCAGGACCTACCTCCCTGCTGGTTTTTTGAGTGAACCCATATGGGGTCCACTCTGAGCATAGGGAGGTTGGCTGACAAGAGTCGGGGTGCTGGATGGCCTTGGAGGTCCCCCAGGCCCAGGGTTGCCCCACAGGTCATTTCCCCAACCTTCCCATCTCAAGGCCCTGACCAGCCTCTCCCTCCACCTGGCCCCCTGGGGCTGCCGGGGGGGGGGGGTGCGCTCACCCGGCCTGGGTAGCTCTGCAGGAACTTGATCTTCTCGAAGAGTTTGATGTTGTCGGCGCGCAGGCTGTCTAGCTCGCCCTGCAGGGCTTGGATGGTGTGCTGGGCCAGGCGGCTCTCCTGTGGGGGCAGTGGGCAGGCGGGAGGGCCGGGGTCAGAGGGTACCACACTGGCACAAGTACTGCCCTCTACTAGGCCCCTCTCTGTGCCCATGGCCTTCTCCTTGACCTGC